TGTTTTTTTAGTGTTGCCTGATTAGTCAGCACAGTGACTTCTCCAGGCACGGGCCTACCTGAAAGCATCATGGCCAGATACAGTCATTAGCAAAAAAAAAAAGAAGGTAAAAAAGAGGAAATTCTCATTGCTCCAGGTCTAAGTAAATTTGTTTAAAATGAGCCATTACATGCGTAGCCTGCAGGGGCACCAACACGAGCCAGAAAAGGAGATAGTGTAGTTTGCTCAGTGAATCACCATGAGGCCAACATAAATATCTAACCCTAGGCTCACATTTTTTTACTGTCGGGAAATTCATTTTGTTACTTAATCTTTAGGGTCATTGGTTTTAATACTTGGGACAGCATGGCCAACTTGAACTTGGCTTGATTCGGTCTGCGAGTAATGTGATGAACAATCAAAGGAGAAATGGAGAAACACAGACGAGGGGGGAGCGGAACAAAAGCCACATACCGTATCCAGGGGTGTCCTGAAGCAAACGCTCCCCTCAGATGTAAATCTTTTTTTTTTTTTTTTCCCCAAAAATCTTGCTCTAATGTGTGCACATAATCTGCTTCTGTATGTGTACTCCCTACAGCATAGGTTTATAAATGCTGGCCTCAGAGGTCGCCAGAGGTTACAGCCCGTCTGAGGCATCACTAAGAGACCATCTTGGTTTGATTGCTGACTTAAGCTTTGGCCTTGGATGAAACCATTGTGGTACCAGAGCAATGTTCGCTGCTGGTGCTGCATTGCACTCACAATGGAGATTATATGGCAGCAGTGGGAATAGTGGTTTATGCCTGTGTACTCTTGTTTAAGTCTGGAGGTCGTAGTTGGCAGGAACTGTGCTACGAACAACAAACGAGTGTGTTTGTGTATGTGTGTGGGGCAAATGAATACACATATACTCGTCCATGTGAGTAGTACAGTATCCTCGCAGGGCTGTCACTGCTTCTACAGTATCACAGAGGGCATTCTGAAATTTGGTCTCTGGTACTTGATGGTCCACATGAAATGATCTATGGCTATTGTTTCTTTTTACCCTCGTTCACTGATGGAGTTCCCAATTTCCGCTCATGCATTACCCTCACTCTTTCTCCCTACAGTATTTTACCGACTACAATCACTTTTCAGAAACTAAAATTTATTTTGTCTTGTCCTACGCTGATACCACATTGGGTCTTGACTAACTGAAGGTTGCGTGGTAAACAACGTATAAAAACAGGCCATCAAAGAAAAGAAGAAATGAAATAAAATGTTTCTAGTTATGCAGATGACTGTATCATTGTTCCTAATGCCATGCCTTAAATAAAGTGCTAATTAGTGATTGCTGATAGAGAGACACAAATGTACAGTTTGGAGAGGACTCATTAGACTAATGCCTATTGATCACAACGGCAGATGGAACACAGAGATGTCAAAATAAATCGCAATCAAATTGTGTATTTGGATGCTTTCTGAAAACACATTTGATGAGTTTTCACTGACTAACTTGATTTCTGTTTGAAAAACAAACACAATTTAGAAAACAAAACATGCAACACAATGTAAGACAATAGAGACAAAATAAACAGAAAAAGTCTGGTAATCAATATTCTTGCCACGTTGTCAGTTGATGTTGTAATTAATAAAGGGTTTGGTTTTCAAGATTGGGTATTAAAGAGGAATTTTTTTTTGGTCAGGATTTGAACTTCAATTTTTTTCTTGGCTTTTTTTTTTTTGTTTTTATTTTAATTTTTTCTGCTTTATTTAATAGTTTTATTTTAGATTTTCTTATTCAGATGGATTTCTGTGATTGTTCCTGTGATACTTCCACCAGACTCCACCTAAACTCAAACATCAGACTTAGTTCTACCTTTCCCTTCTTCTACATCTCTCCGTGTACAGAGATGTGCTCCCACATGTCGTGTACACCTACCAGGTCCAAACCATCTCCAGCCGGGGTGAGAGTGAGCCCTCTCCTCCTTTGGTGCATGAAGTGGGAGCTCCGTACTGCGGCGATGGACGGATCCAGAGGTGACAGACTCTCACCCACATCCTGTCGTTTAATGATATATTTGTAGGCGTTGTGTGTTTGAGGTTTTTAAAGCAGTGTTTCCTGCTCATTTAGTTCCAAAGGAGAAGAGTGCGACGATATGAACTCCATGAATGGGGATGGCTGCTCCACTCAGTGTAAGAAGGAGCCTTTCTTCAACTGTGTCGGTAAGTGCTCCGTCTGTTGCGGTCTCTCTGGATTAGAAGTGAACGCCTGAAGTCACTGTTTTATTTTTCTGTGTTGCCATTGAGGAAACTGGAGAATTAGCCTACTTATTCTACCCATTTGGTTAAGAAATACTCTTAGAAATACAGAGTAAAGGCTCTGCTTTTTTGCTTGCCCACTCCTTTTTTTTAAACAAATTTACCAATAGCAAGACTAATTAAAATTTAAAATGCAGTTTATCGTATTGTTTTTTAAATCATTCCACTGTCCATTCACTTATTGTTGCTAGAATACCCAGTTAATACACCTTTGTTTTTTGCACACAGTTAGAAAAAGTTTTAGTTTCACCCAATCAGCTCAAGTTTAAAATACCATGTCAACGTCCAGAATGTGTTTTTGGAGGCTTAAACTCCAGGTCAAAGGTGTTCATGCAGAAGAAAATGTTTTATTTTAAGCACTGTTGATTTATCATAATTAATCATAATTAATGGTAATTCATCCAGAGTTACCCTGAGATTAATTAGATTAATTTTAATCAGTGGTCAGCTTTAAAAAAAAAACTTGGCGTTTTTCTTGAGCATTCCATTTTTTCAACAATAAATGGTGTCATGTTTGTATCTAATGCCATTTGAAGCGAAATAGCTGATAAAGCATGAGTATAGAAGGACACAGTGTCATTCACACCGTTTTATTACCTGCATCTAGGCTCATATTAAAGGCTGTAAACGTCCAGTCATTCTGTTTTCATCAGGTTTTTCACTGAATGGATTCTTTCTTCCTGGTATTTTATTAATAGCACCTTTTTTTGGTGAAGGTTTTTCCTTTTAAGAACATCTGGACTTTTGCATGCTGATTATTGTTGTCATGATATGTAATGATGTATTATGCTGGACAGATATGAGTAAATGTAAATTGAATAACTCAGCTGTGCCCAAAAGAAAAAATATTTTTTTAAAAAAATCATAGTTTTATCGGATTCATTTAAAGGAGACCCACAGGATCAGTTTGTGAATGAAAAATTTTGACATCTGGACAGCTCTAATCCAAACTTCTTCTTGTCTCTCTCCAAAACCAAAAGAGTAAAAATTCCATTAGATATCATAATCACTTAGACCTGCAAAAAATAAAAACTAAATCTGGGAATGATTTTTTTTTTTTTTTTTTACCAGTTGAGTGACTGCCATCTCCTACGTTGTTTGCGTTTATGAATCGGTGGATAATTTCCTGTCCAGTTCCCCTGCCGTCTGACTGCCCGTCTACTCCCCCCATCCCCCGTTGTGAATGCATGTGTGTGTGTTGGTGCATCTATAATAACACACATGCATGCACAGTCATATGTGAACATCTGTGATCGTGGTCACTTAATACCTGTCAAATTGCTAATGGTTACAATGTCTGGGCTGCTTTTTGTTTTTTTTCACCAACTATAGCAAGATGTTCATGTGTGTCTGTGTGTGTCTGGGTCTGGCTGACACAGTTGTTGTTTTCTGCAGAAATCTACAGTAACAATAAAAAAAAAGGACCTTCTGTCTTCATGTGCGAGAAAGAGCGTTCTCCTAAAAACTAGAACAAACTAGATAAGATCTTGACAACATTAACTACTGTTTAAATGACCTGTAATTATATATTGAAGTAGTGAAATTAATGAAATCAGTAACCTGTCATAGTGTTGGCTTGGTTTGTCAACAGATGAAGCAGTGAAGAGAATTTTGATCATTTCATCAGCAGTTGTCGTAGATTTGATCCAATAAGAACAGGATTAAAGGTGTTTTCACGTCTGCAGACAAATAAAAAAAGGTGTATTTTATTTAGTCAGAGTTCTCCTTCTCCTTTTTTCATTACAGCTTTGTTTAAGGCATCACTCACTTTTTCCAATATGTAGCTCTCTCTCTCCCTCTCTCCCTTTTTTTTTGCTCTTGCACTCAATCACCTTTACGTTTTTTCCATTATCTGTTTATTCTATCCCTGTCCACATGCTAAGAGCAGTAGTGATACTTTTTCTCCTCTCCCACCTCACCTTAGCTCCTCGGTTCTAGCTCTACTCCGTTACCCCTGCAGCTACCAGGAGCCACCGTTTGAGCTTCCTCTTGTCTCAAATTTGCTGCTTCCCTTCCTTCTTCTCTGCCTCTGTTCCTG